TTCTACCAGCCGTTTAGTGTCATTAACTACAATAGTAGTTTTACTGTTTTTTACTGGTGATTTTAGTTTCGAATTCTCTTTGTCTTTACTATCAATGCCAGCCAAAGGATCTTCTGGCTTAATTTCCTCAATGTCTGAACCATCATCATCTACTTCCTCTTCTTCTATTTCTTTTTCTATGTAACTTGTCCTCTTTATATTACGAGAACTTCTTCTTGGTGTAATACTACTAAGATCTACTTGTTTCCTTGATTTCCTTTGTTTTGGGTCTTTGTTAGCACGCTCTGGTGAAGTATTATGACCATTCTTTGCACTATCAGTTATTTCTTCAATATCAGGACTATCGCAGCTTCCATTTTCTTCACAGATTTTTACATCAGATATATCCATACTACTATCAGCAATTTCGCTACTGTCATTAAGCTGTATATCACTACTGCCTGATAAATTGATATTATCCTCAAGGGCAGAACTTTTCATAGTGAACACGTCGTCATTATCAGAATGTATTTCTGTTACATTTTCATCGAGACATTCAACATCTGAATTATTACTCTGTTCATCAACTTCCATAGCCTCACATGATGTGTTTTTACACTTATCTTCAGTCTTAGTCACTTCACTAAAATTGTTCATCTCACTGACACCCTCAGATGATTTAGACATTTTAGAGTCATTTTCTGACTCCGACATCTCACCCCCTTTACTTCTACCTTTCTCTATCCCATTTTGTTCACTATTATCAGATTCTAAATCCCCTTCTTCAATATCAACTTTTATTCTATGTTTGTCCTCATCATCTTCGTTTCCATTTGCTTCCCTCTCCACCTTTACTGCACTGCTAATTTCTTTTGACACAAGTTTGGATGCATCAGTATCTGCACCAATGAATTCTTCTTTGACATTATAATTTCCATTAACCCCATTTGGAATCACATCTGCAAAACATAATAAATATTTTTATACAAATGCTAATGATTTTATATATCATTTATATCATTAAGAATATAATTACTCAGTGATGGTAAATAAGGCACGCTGTTAATATTATTTCGTAATCTAATTATAGAATTTTAATCACATTATTGAGTGATAAGTCAGTAAATGTATTTGTTATTGATAATTATATATTAATGGTAGAGGATTAAAAAACAAAATGTTATACATGTCCAATCAAGTGTTATGGAGTAAGAATCATTTGCACCTTAATGACATTCAAACCCAATTAAATGTTACAAAGTGCAGTGAAACAATACACCAACAAATAATAGAAACCCAATGGCAATGTCATTTCTCAACAACAGTTAAGGAAAGTTTGCAGTAAACACAGAAGTAAGTACTGGACGAATCAGAAGAGTTGCACTAACAGTTTCAAACAGGGACACAGCATACCTTTGAGAACCTTATCAGGACTGGCCTGAGATGAGTCCTTAACAGGGGGTTCTTCCAACGTGCCTTCCATGGGGCCACCACTGTACAGTTGATCTAAACAATTAATAAGAACACAAGAATAAGCGGCTCGTGGCGACGACGCGTTTCATTACATCGACGATGTGAACGCGAGGGCGGGGAGAGGGAGGGAATTTTTAGCGGGGCCGAATTTTTCAAAATGGCGCTGCGAATTCCGTACTCCTATTTCCTTGTTCCCATAACCAACAAAGTTCGTGGTATGTTGCCTTCCAGTCGACGCGTCGCCGAAATGCGTCCACTTGCTCCGAAATGTCTTGGCACACACGGTTACAGAAGTAATTAAGGGATAGGAAGTCACCCGTGGATAAAAATGATCGGACGAACGGAGTCCTGTGAAGTAGCTTGAATGGTTAGCGTCTCTCAGTCAGTCACCTGCACTCGCCAGCCACCGCGTCCGAGCGCCAGCCAGCCAGCCAGCCAGTCAGCCCTCCGCCGTACCTCTCCTCTCAACCTTCACAACCTACACCTATACCTACGACTTACACATCGAGCTTTCGCCTTTCGTATACATACATACACGTATAAACATACACTCATTTAAACGCACACACAATCCTATCTCAACACACCATCCATGGGTGTGCGCGCGAGCGCACAACCTTCCGAACTCTCTATACTACATGCCGGACAACACGCCAACCACCTACAGAACAACCCTATGACCTACCGAATCCGATCATGACAGACTGATCTCCCACGACGATACTGCACTTAAACGGCTTTTCCTTACAAAATATTCAACGGTTTACATCCATGTGACTCGAAAAACCGTGAATCAACAAACACTATAATACACGGATTAATGTACGTGACGAAGAAGGAACTAGATAAACGCGGACCATTTTGTCAGATTATCTATATAGATCTGATCCACCCGATCAGCGTTCTTATCCGAGGTTCGACGAGAATTTTGTCGAGTTACCGTTTGTTCTAGTGTCAAACGGTATGAAACATCACGAGAAGACGGAACCAATATCGTTTACTCCAAAAAGCTAAGATAAAACCTCTCTATGAACTCGTTCGAAGGGCACACAGCACTCTTCTAAAAGATGCTGAGCATACTTTAACCTACACCAATGCTCATCTCGATGCAGTATGTATTGTCGTTCGAAGTAACGATAACGTTATTTAGAATTTGGAAAATGTGAAAACGATTCGAGGCACCGGTGATTGAAAACACGAGGAATCCCATTCAGTATGCTCGTTCGGGGCATGTCTCGTGCTACTTAACTCGCTATCCACGAATCCCGGCAGTTCTGTGAGGTAATGGAACGCGTACAAACTCCAACCGTATCCTGTCACCAGGCACAAATATACGCACCTGACCGCTTGCTGTCCTAAACGATTTTCTGATACCGCGACATTTTCACAACCTGCAATCTTCAGTGGCGGCGGTGGAGCTACGATTCGTCCTTATACGCACGATACACGATTTATTCACAAAACCTGTAAATAGTGAACATTCATCGCTGAAAATTAGGCACCAGAGGGCAGGCGCGACGTTGGAAACGTTAAAAAGTTATGCCCAGGGCCGTCATAAAATCGTGGGTTCTTTTCACGAGGGTTAAGCAGAAACAAAATAGAAAGAAGGGGTCGCAGAACGGAAAAAAGAATTCCGTGATGTTTTCTTTCATCTTCACGCCGTTTAAACGCCCTTACACTACTCTCCCCGTGAATATTATCATTCTCGTGTTCATACCGAGAGTAAAAAATTACTTTTGCAAATAACCAAGTCCCTAATGCTTCGAATAAACAAATTCAATTTTTTTCAGATGTCAATATAAATCAAATGACGTCATCGTTTAAATATTCTGTGTATCTTATCGCAAAAATTGCATCATGTATGATATAATAAATTTGTTTTTTAATACGGTAAGTATAAAAAAAAGAATGGACGAATTATTTTTTTTAAAATTAGAAATATTAATATATATTTCATTTAATTGATTTAAAAAATAAAAGCCATGTTCTTGTCGTTGTTTGTGTAATGAACATACGACATTTTTCTCAGAATACTACTCTTTATTTCGCTGATCACGCGCTTTGTAGGCAAAATAACCATGTCAGAAGATAACACCATTGAAGGAATAAATACTACGCTTCAATATAGTGTTAATTAAAAATAAATTATTAACGATCAATTTCATTGTTGGTTCCTTGAATAGAATATGAAAACACTGAAAAGAAGATACACTACAAGTTTCATTGAACAATCTTCAGATATCATCAAAATATTTTATATAATTCGCAAGACGAAAGCTAAGTTATACAAATGTCGGTATTTAACAGCGATCGATATATCATAAATGAATTGCATTACCATAGCAATAGTAATCTATTCATACTGTAAGTTACCAGAGGAATGTAAACATTAGTGTGCACGTTCAAAACAGTTTTGTTATTATCTATCGAGGTGATCTATCTAACACGAGACGAGAGGAGTTATAAAAGTATAGGAAATGCGCAAGGGAATTGAGAGGATCGTCACGGCCCTGGTTATATTGTGTTATTCGGTACCACAACTGTACAAATCATAAAATCCAACAAATCAATCGCAAGTCCCTTGGCGTACTTTGTACAAGTAATTTGTTTTTCTTGCATCTACGATCAAAAACTAAACCACTCATGTCTACTGATTTATTGAAATTTAGAAAGCTGCCGCCATTTCTTCATAAGGGCTGGCTTAACTGTCGAACAGCTGCCGTGGTGGTCGCTAGCCGATCGCGATTATCCCCCCAAAAGAGGACCAATAATCGAAACACACACACATCGCAAATGCCGCGCTATTTAAATTCACTGACCGTTCGGAACACTGATAAATATTCGGCTACACACGCGACTCCTTCGACACTTGGTATACACCGTTTTTATATCAAAATTATTCACATATACTTTGTGTTTATTTGGGTTCGACGTCACGGATCCTTCTTACCTTCGTCGTCGAAAACTGCCAAGATGGCGACGATAATCACGTGACCGCAAATTTTATGACGTACGTGTAATGTTAAAGGGACGAAACGACCAGTAGCGTTTGTTATACATAGTCACGTGATCGAGTACACGTGCACATCCAATGAGAGGCTCTCCCAAGAATAAGGACAATCTGCAATTGCAACAATGTATAATAATAGGGTTGACTAACAAGCCCCCGCCCTTTTCCATAGGTTCTTTTGGGAAACACCCCCAATATGGTTCATGTAACAATATTTCAAA